TGTCTGCCGAGGCACTTGATCTGATTAGACAGACCGGGCTGTCACATCTGGTAGACTCCATGCACGCCCACTTGGACACTCCACTGATTACTGCATTTGTGGAGCGATGGAAGCCTGATACTAACTCGTTTCACATGCCTTTTGGTGAGATGAGCATTATGTTGCACGATGTCCGGGCCATTTTGGACATTCCTGTTGAGGGAGGTGTGGTCGTTGAGGACCCGGATTCAGAGGCATGCCAGGTTTACTGCATGGAGATACTTTCGGTCACGAAGCCTGACCTAATTGCGTCCGTGTGGCAGCGTGGTTCGGTGGCTGAAGCCTCTGTTGGGGAGACATTTAGAGGTAAAAATAAGTTGGCTTCAGATGAGGCTGGTGCCTGGATTTGGGTGCTGCTGGCTACCACGTTGTTCGTAGACAAGAGTGGTAGTAGAGTGAGTCCGAAGCTCCTACATGAGGTGCTCGACGGCTTGGATGCCATTGGAGGTTACTCCTGGGGGTCGGCTACGCTGGCATATTTATACCGACAGTTAGGTATTGCCAGCAGAGGGGACTCCAAACAACTTTCCGGCTGCTTGACTCTTCTGCAGTCTTGGATTTACGAGTATTTCCCAGATTTCCGACCCCAGGAGGGGCGTTTACCTCTCGGACCTAACGAGTCCGTACGAGCGCGGGTGTGGAACACAGGGACGGGTCATAGGTCAGAGGACCGTCTGATGTCTATCCGTCGTAAGCTGGACAGACTCACTGCCTCCAGTGTACGTTAAGTTATTTAATTTAGTTACTCGTTATTTAAAATAATATAAATATTCTTATAAATGCTTTTATGCCATTGTGAACAGGTGCAATGGACGCCATACAGCAGCTCATGGCCAGATGAGATAGAGCAGAGGACTCTTTATTGCGGACTGATTCGGTACCGCGATATTTTCGAGCCGTACTATCCTGTACGGTTTCTGCGGCAATTGGGGTATGTCCAGACCATCCCTCCCCCTATACAGACGCCGACCGCTGTAAACCGTGCTTCGCAGGTAGTATAGATGATTATTTAGAATTTTATACACGATTAATTAGAATTTTATAATCGTGAATGATTAACTAACAATTATTACTGTGCTTGGCAGTCGAGGCTGTACAAAGTCGAGCATCCTGATGTCGGCGCAGTAAATATGTGGAACCAGTTCCCGATGTCGCACACTGTCAACACCAGCTTGTGTAGGGTCGCCACAGATGATCGAGGGGAGGCCGATCCAGAGTACTTGCTGTGGTACCGTCGGGTTTCTCATCCTACTGTCTTGGGTGAGGGTCTGCCTGACGAGAGAGAGGTCCCTACGCGTGGGAACACCGACTATGTAAGACATTAGCAAGCTTTTAATTAATAATATTTGATTAGAATAAATTTTATTTTAATAAATAATGAACATATATTCTTATTCTTATTTTTTTGTTTTGTAGTGGATGGACCGTGCTTTG